GGGTTTGAGTCCCAGACAAGTAAAAAAAAAAAACGGGGGGGGGGGGCGGGGGGCTGGGGAGATGGCTCAGTAGAATAAGTGCTTCCCTGGCAAGGACAAGGGCCTGAGTTCAACCCATGGTTCTGACAAAAAAAAAAAAAAAAAAAAATCATCTTAATATAGAAAAATATAAAGAAGAAAACATAAAGGCCCCAAATCTCATCTAAATAACTCTTATCAATGTTTTTTGAAAATAAAAGTATCTATATTTATATAATTAGAGTATGTGAGATACCCAGGTATAAATTGAAAAGCAACTCCTTTCTCATCTTAGTCCTTAGCCCTTCAGCTAATGTGTCTTTACATGTACAAAGCAGCATTACATGAATATCAATTGTTCTGGCCCTGAAAGGGACTTTCAGTCTAATAGGTCAAAGAATCATAAGCAAGATGTGTAAATGAAATTATGAGTGATCGGCAATCACTTGGCAGCTAAGCAGTCATGAGATGTGACACAAACATCTGCCTCAGCTATCAACCACAGCTCACTATTGGTCTCTCACCCCTCTATGTCATGTGACTACGCCCAGACCTTAAATACTTAAGATCTCTCCCCTCAATGGGCATGATAAGTCCTCGTGGTCCAATGAGCTTTGAAATGGCAGATTTACTGTCCTGACTGCTATAATTCATGGGTGTATTGTAGAGAATCACTATCAGACAGCTCTGCCAGCCCCAGTATTACCCACAGAGACCTTTTATTTGGTTTGCATCATTTTGTAAAATGAAACTTGCCCAATTTGTATAAAAATGGCTTCATTTTGAAAACTTTTTTTCAAAGGCTCACATTGGGCTTGCTTTCCTGTCACTGCTGAGGAGCTGCTGCACCTCCAGTTTACCTTAAGCCCCTACTCCACTCCCACTGAATGAAACCTGGTATCAGTTGTCACCATCATGGTTCTCTTTTTTTGGATTAGAAAGATGTTGTAAAGCCCACATTTCTATTAAAAGTAAAGGGTTAAGCTGCTCCTAGGAGGTGCAGTATATTACTGAAATCTGCATCATGAAATCAATTTTAATTCATCCATAGAAACAATGTGCTTTGCGTTCTTGACAAAAGCAGGTCGTAATTTCTAGGCATATCAAACAGTGTGCAAGAACAGCAACACAGCTGCATGAACACTCTTCTCAGCAAGCCCCTTAGGACTACGTGCCCCTGAATCAGGCAGGCTGTCACAGAAACAGCAACAAGAAATCTGACCATAAAAATCCCTAACAGTAAAGACATTTATTGTGTCATAAAACACAGACAGGTTCCAGGCCAGCCCAGCAGCTGCCTGCTGTACTCAGAGCCTCAGCCTCTGATCCTGTGTTCCTCCATCCCTTGCTTCTCACCTTGACTCTGAGCGAGCACAACCCTTAGTCACTGCCACAGTTTGGGGAAGTACAAAGGCCATTGTTACCTACAAGTCATGTCTTATACCATGAAACAAGTGATCAGCTTTTTTTGTTCTGCCTCTTTTAGTGAAAGAGAAAGCTTTTCCCAGAAGCCCTGGTACACCTCCTCTGGAATCCTTGTTCAGAAAGCACATAGTGTCTCCCACCTGTTTACAAAGGTGTTATTCTAAACTTTCCCTTTTTCCCTCATTCTCCTCATTCATTAAGACATAGCCATTCTGATTTTGCAATCTATCCACTACTTTCTGTTTCTTTGTTTACTATATTAACTCAGATCTTCATTAATTCTATCTGTTCTAACGGCTTCTAGTTTATCTATCTTCTGCAATACTACTAGAATGATTTTTCAAAATACAGATCTCTTTTTGTTATTATCCTGCTTAAGACCCTTCAGTGATTCTTAATCACAGGATTACATTTTTTTCTAGGTGAAGTAATGACTCCTTTGCTCCCCTTTGGGAGGGAAAAAGAAATAAATTATGAGTGGGAGTGTAGTACAGTAGGATGCAGAGTTGCCCTGGCTATGGGAGAAGGTCCTATGCTTCAGCCAGGTGGATCCCTTTTCTTCCTTCATGGAGGCCCTAACATCTTTCCCTGGACCCCTATAGTAGAAGCAGAAGATAGTGCCTATTAGGCAGCTGGGATGGCCCTAAGGAATGTCAGCCAGGCTAGGGACATACATCTGAGTAGAAACAGAAGCCAAAATCAGGGACATACCCAGAGAGCATAGAGAGAAAGGCCCTACACAGAAAAATGGCCCCAGGATCTTGCCCACAAATCATGTAACATTTCCTAAAGCAGTGTTTCTATTTCACCCTGAGAACTCCAAGAATATGCCTTATTGGGAGAATCTGTGCTCAAACTACACAAAACAAGTTTACCCAGTTTTATTTATCTTTATACCTCAGATTCTTGAGAACAAAGTAAGGATAGTTGTAGACCGAAGTGCAGCAAATATCAGTGGTAAGAATAGCCTCCTATTGTTTGCATTGTGTTTTGTTTCGTTGCTTTTTGTTTGTTTCATGCTGTAATGGGAATTGACCCTCATATTGAGCTCTCTCTCTACCGGGTCTTGCTAAAATTGCCTATGCTAGCCTTTAATTTATTATCCTTCTGCCTCTGCCTCACAAGTGCTTAGCTACAATTTCATTCTTATAACTTCTTTTTTAAAGAGGTAAAAAATTTTCTGTCATAACCCTGAGATTAGAGTAATTTTCTCCCTGCCCACTTACTTTTTGCAAGGCTTTTTATTTTAGAAATCCTGAATTGCAGGGGAGATAGCTCAGTGGAATAAGTGTTTGCCTGGCAAGCACAAGGTCCTGAGATTGATACCTGGTACCACCACACCAAAAAAAAAAAAAAGTCCTGAATTAACCGATATTTCATGTGTCCATTTCTTATAAAGGGAGTTTTCAGTTACGTAGATCTAAGAACAGGCTTTTTTTTTTTTTTTTTTTTTTCCCAGTATCAGAGATTGAACTCAGGGCCCTGCTCTTGCCAGGCAAGTGCTTATTCTACTGAGCTATCTCCCTGGCCCCAAGAACAGATTTTTAAAAAGAACTATAGTAATGGATTTGTTAGTCAAACTATTCCCCCTACTCTTGATAACAACCTTTATATATTCTTTTTAAATTTTTTATTGTATTGCTACATTTTAGATATACATAAACTGGGTGTGGTGGTGCATGCGTGTAATTCCAGCACTCCAGAGGCTGAGGCAGGAGGATCACTGTGAATTTGAGGCCAGCCTCAGATACATAGCGAGTTTAAGGCCAGCCTGAATTGTGTAATGTGCTCCTGTCTCAAAAAACAAAACAAAACAAAAGAAAGAAAAAGAAAAGAAAAAGAAATACAAAGTGATAACATTCATTCTAGGGATTTGTCTGTGGTGTATCTTGTGGTTTCTTTTTTCCCATTCCCCTCCCCTCCCTTCAACCCTTGTTCCCCACTTTATTTACAAAAGCTTTGTTTCCATTTCCTTCTATTCTTTGTTCTTAACCCTTCTTTCCTTTCTCTCTCTCCCCTCCCTCATTCCCCTTGCCATTTCCCAATATCCATTATCTATTTTATACTTTTGGTTTCTCAAAAAAGAGAAACCATGCAAAAAATTTGAACATGTGTGTCCAATATATTTCACTTAGGAGTAGGTCTTATGGTACATCCATTTAGCCAGAAATATCTCAAGCTTATCCCTCTTAATAGCAGAGTAGTACTTCATTGTATAAAAAATATATTCTTGTCAGTTGATGGCCATGTAGGCTGTTTCCAAGATTTAACACTTTCAAACTGTTCTAAGAAGTCAAAAATAGCAGACCTTCCCCAATTTAAAGACTCATCCAAAAATGGGCATCTAAAACAAAGACATACTTCTCAGTTGAAGAAGTAGAAACAGAAAAAAAAAAGTGTTTATCACTGGCCATTGGAAAGATGCAAATTAAAACTACACTGATATTGAAAGAAATCAACCAATAATAAATGTTGGAAAGGCTGGCAGGAAAAAGAGCCCTTCTTCCCTGTTGGTGGGAGTGTAGAGTGGTGCAACCACTGTGGAAAGCAGTGTGGAGATTCCTCAGAACACTAGGTCTAGAGGTTCCATTCAATCCAGCTATTCCCCTTCTTGGTATCTTCCTAAAAGAATTAAAAACATCATACCACAGCAATATATGTTCCTTACTTTGGTTTAAGACCAGTCTTTTTGTTGTTTCATGAAAACTAAAAGGTTATTTGGATACAATTTACCTTCTTGTTATGGAACATAGCCTTCTTAAGGAGATGTTAATGAAAAGTTAGTAAGTAAAGGAGTTATCAGTTTGAGACAAGAGATGAATAAGCTGTACATTTCAGCAGCGATTTCCTTATTGATGGGGACATACCATGAGAAAGGAGAGGAGGAGGGAAAAGGAGGTCAGACTATTCAGCTGTACTTGCTTTTATCTCTGCTCATCTCAAAAGGGGTTAAGGAGCACATGTCTTTAATGTCTTGTGTGGGCTCTAGCCAAGCAGATCAGCAGTCTGTCTCTTTCTGACACTGACCACCTCCACCACCTCCACCTCCCACCTTTCTGGCTACCTAGACCTTATCTCTGTCATCACTTTAGGTTTTTCTGCTTCTTTATCGTAGCCTGCCCCCATCACATCTGGAGCTGACCCGTTCCTGGCTACCAGTCTTTGCTATAAGACAGCACAGGCAGACTCTGCCTTCCCTGAACCTGACAGCTCAGTCCCAGTGCCACAGGATATGGCAGAGAGCACCTGCCACTTCCCAGCCTTTCCAGTACCACCTGCTAGGGATCCAGCACCACCCCCAACCAGTACTCTTGATTTAGGAAAATGATAATTTTATCTTAACCTATTTCAATGACACTCTAACATGCTTAAGAAAATTGACTGTCAGATTTGATCAATGTTGTTAAAGTACACAGTGATATTCCCAGAGTAATTCGAGTAAAATTCTCACTCAGCAGGAGCAGTTTTAATGACAGGAAAATCAAGAAATGAAGATGAGCAACTGAACCTCAGTGCACTGGTGCCCTCCTACACTGTCTCCCTCTTCTATTTTTCAGGTACAACGTGTTTGATTGCTCTACTGTCAGATAAAGACCTCACTGTGGCCAATGTGGGTGACTCACGAGGGGTCCTGTGTGACAAAGATGGAAATGCCATCCCTTTATCTCATGATCACAAGCCTTACCAATTAAAAGAAAGAAAGAGGATAAAGAGAGCTGGTGAGTTTGTGACCACATCCAGTGAACGTCTCCCATCTTGTTTGGTGGGCAAGGAAAGAAATGTTTGGAAAGAAGTGCTCAGCTACCCAGTGATTAGTTGGTCATTACAGAGGCTGCTACTGCGGTAGCTGTGACATGGCTTTGTAACATTTCCTACATAATAAATAGCTCCTGAATTTGCCCCTTTTCATGGCCAAAGATTTCAAAGGTCAAAGGAATTTAAAGACTAGTAAGATCTTTGAGCCTCTGCTTCCTGCCTGTTTTCACCTCTTGCCATACCACTTCCCTCTAGCCATGTCTGACTAGTAACTTCCATGTGAACCTTATTTGATACCTCTGCCTTGCAAGTGCCTTTCCTACTTGTTTAATGGAAAACAGTTACTTGTCCTTTAGGATTCAACTTCCAGGTGTCACATCATGGTAAACTCTCCCCGGTCGGGATGGGTAGGCTGTCTGTCTTTCCCAGCAGCCTTTGTAGTGTCTGGGTCTGCTGCCACAGTATTTGCACATATTTCTCATTCCTGTCTTGCCTTCCTAACTGTGAGTACTCTGAAGGCAAGAATTTAGTGTTCTCTATCTCTACCCTGCTAGCAACTAACTCAATAGTTGATAAAAGTTAATATTTCATAGCAAGGTGCAGCAGGCCCTTATTCATTCATCATTCAGTGTGCCCCCTCCTCCCCAAAAACTCTCACAAAATTTTTGTTGTTGTTTGAGATAAGAGTCTCACTGTGTAGTTGAGGCTGGCCTTGAACTCAAGGCAATTCTCCTGCCTTAACCTCCAGTGTGCTGGGAGTGCAGGCATGTACTACCACACCAGGCATGCTCATAAAATTTGCATTCAGGGGCCAGCCAAATAGCTCAGAGGATTAAAGCACCTGCAAGCAGGTGCAGGGGCCAGGGGTTTGATTCCCCCCCCACCCACACACACACCCTGCCGTGCTGGCCCTGCAAGTGAGACTGGGCGTGGTGGCGCGTGCCTGTAATCCCAGCTCTTGTGAGGCTGTAAACAGGCAAATCACTAGGAGTCCAATCTAGTAGTGAGACCCTGAACACCCTGTAGACCCTTCCCTAAAATAAAAAAAATAAAAAAAATGCATTTTGATATTGGCATAAGGGTAGGATTAGACAGACATTAACCAAAAAAAAAGCAAGTAAGATAGTATATGATAAGGTGGTACCTACAGTGGAGTGGTACAAAACAGGGAGGTGATGGAGCTGTCAGGAGTTGCAGCTTTAAATTGTATGGCTTTTATAGCCTTCACTAGGATATTGTGCCACCAGAGACTCCAAGAAGGAGTGTCAGTTCATTATTATATGTTCATAATTAGATTTGGAAGATTCCTTTACATGTGTGGAAGAGAAGAATTCCTTCACCCCTGAGGCTGACGAACTCATGATGAGCTAGAGAGGAAGCAAGTGCCATGCCCATCATCCTAGTCTCTGGCTGGCCTGGCGTGGGCCCCTTGTCTGCATTAATCTGCAGACTGCCTCTCAAGCACTGCAGCTCAGCTTCCTACCAGTGAGCAAATCAAGTGAACCTGATGAACACTTGACTTTTCACAGGAGGGAGCTATACGGGGGAGTCAAGAAGTATTGGGCTTTATTACAATCCCTGCTACAGTGACTGCTTGAGATGCAGAATAATTCTAAGTGAAAGCTTTGGCGAGGTTTTCTGTTAATGAGATGGACCAAATAATTATTTCACAGCATCTATCAAGCTTTGATAAGCTCCAGGCAGCGTGAGTGAAATATTCTGACTTCCTTTTATGAAGGCACTGTCTGCTCGTAAGGGTCTGCTATGAGCTTGGATTTAAGATAAGCAGAAGCACAGGCAGTAATGTGTACATAATACACCTGGAAATGTCATCAGTACATCCAGAATACTCTTTGAAAGGCCACTGCCATTTTATCCTCTCTCCTTCTCTCTATTATACCCACTACCCTCTGCCTCACAGTATGGTGATTCTTTCTAGAAGCAAATTGGGAAACCATCTTAAAGGAAGTTCACCTAATGCAATTTGCTCTTTTTTCTTTGTAATTTGGTCAAGTGTGTATTTTATAGCAGGGCTTAAGGAACAATGGTTAGTTTTACTATTTTTGTGTTTATTTCTTTGACCCAAGTCTGTTTCACACAGAGCTAGGACTGAGACAGAAATAGAAAGCAGGCAGTCTGACCTGAGCTTTTGGTGGGGGGTTGTTTTGTTTAATTTTGTCTTGTTTTGTTTGAGATAGGGTCTCTCTATGTAGTGCAGGCTGGCCTTGAACTTACTTACATACCTGAGGCTGGTCTTGAATTTACAGTGATTCTCTTGCCTCAACCTCCTGAGTGCTGGGATTACAGGCAAGCGGCACAGTGCTGGCTGTGCTAGCATGACCTGAGCTTTTAAAGAGTGCAGTAAAATGTATTTTCCCCTGATCCAATCCTATCTGAGGATCTGTTAGATCTATATAGATACATCAGAGGGCAACCTCAGGCCAAATGATAATAGTAATGTCTTTTGTGCAGTCAGCATTACTTGGCAGTCTCCTCTAATGCTCACCTCGTGCTCTCTGCTGTCAGTTGCTGAGCTGCCATGGCACTGTTAAAACCGATGCCCTCTCCTTTATATGTACCCTACACTTACCATTCTTACAGATGTTTTTGAAGCATTGCCAAGGATGGAGGCATGAGCATCCATAGATAGGGCGTCAAATCCCAAACCATGCAGCAGGCTCTGCTTGGGCCTGTCAGTGACGTTGTGGAGGGCAGTGCCAGTAGCCTGGCTCACCTGGACTGGGTCAGCCCTTTGTATATGCACTGAGATGGTACCGGGTGTGGAGGTAGCAGCTGGACAAGCTGATGGGCTCATTCTGTCTTTGCAGGTGGTTTCATCAGTTTCAATGGCTCATGGAGGGTCCAGGGCATCCTGGCCATGTCTCGATCCCTGGGGGATTATCCACTGAAAAACCTCAACGTGGTCATCCCAGACCCAGATATCCTGACCTTTGACCTGGACAAGCTACAGCCTGAGTTCATGATTTTGGCATCAGATGGCCTGTGGGATGCTTTCAGCAATGAAGAAGCAGTCCGATTTATCAAGGAGCGGTTGGATGAACCTCATTTTGGAGCCAAGAGCATAGTTTTACAGTCATTTTACAGAGGTTGCCCTGATAACATTACAGTCATGGTGGTGAAGTTCAGGAATAGCAGCAAAGCAGAAGAACAGTGACCCTTCAGGGGCCTGCACTGCTTTAGGCTAAAAGACTTTGACACACTGGTCTCTTAGATATAGTAAAAGGTGTGGGAATTGTAATTAGGATCACCAATCCCAGACACAGAATCCCCTCCCTGGTGGCTTTCGGTCTGTCTTCCGTGGCGCACAGAGGGTGCCTCCTGGCCAATGTAGTTGCGAGACTGGAAAACGTTTGCTTTGTATTTCCCCAGCTCTGCACCCATGTCCAAAACATAGAAATAGGTAGTTGTAGACCCACGTGTGAGTTGCCCATTAGATGTGCCATGGATTCTTCTTAAGATTCTTTTAAAGACCTCTTGGAGCTTCTCCAGCACCAGCCTCTGTGCCTCTCCGTGGTGGTGGGCAAGGCAAGCCCTCTTGCAGGAGACAGGCTGTTGTGTCACCTGTGACTCAGGGGCTGACGTCGCAGCAGCCTCTGCTGAGGGGCAGTGAGGTGCTAGGGTGCTTTGTCCTCCCAACCCCACCCCCTCCTCAGCAGCCTCCAGAAGCAGATTTGGAATGCTTTATTATTTGGAGCTGCTCCTGGATGAGGGAAGCCAGGGAGATGAGAGGTCAGTGACAACTGCCTGCACAGCAGAAATAAGCCTTCCCCCTCACTCCCTTTATTAGTTAGGTAGACTCTGTCTACCACCTTGTGTGTTTCTTCCAGTCAGGCATGACTTCACCTTGTGCTTACACTTCCCTGTATGTAATAGGCAGCTATTAAATTCACCACCAGACACTGCAACTTTTAGGGCAAACAAAAACTGCACATCCCAATGCTATAATCCCCTCCAACTTTTAAGGGAAGAAAGAGAACAACAGGAGTGAAAATCCACAGTGCCCCTTGGAAAGTAGACTGTAGCTGGTGAGATTACTACCCTGAAGTGAGCGCCAGCTCCAGAGCCTAGTTTTCCCCTCCCTAGCTTAGTAACTTTCAAATGTCTTTCAAACAGTTTTTGAAGAAGCAGCCCCTTAGAACTGCACATGTGTTCCTTGAAACCAATGTTGTTCCCAGCCATCACAGTTTGGAATTCAGTGGCAAACCACCATGGGAGCATGCTTGTCACCAGGGAAAGGTAGTAGCTTCTCATGTTTTGTAAGGAATCTCTGCCCATGAGGAGTAGCCTTCCCAAGTTGCTCTGCATAGCCTGATGGGGAGCTAGTAGGGGTGACTTGTGTAAAATGGCAGCAAAGGTGGTTGGGAATTCAAACAAGATCCCATATTGCTAAGTGGGCTAGAGCTATTCTGGAGCCTGGCTTTCTTACTGCCCTACCTTTCCTACCACCAGAATTATCTTCTTTTTCTAGCCTCAGTATTTTATACATTAATTTATAGAAAATTTTGGGTTTTCTTTTTTGTGTGGCTGAGGCAGCTCAAACAACCAAACAAAATTGTTATTGTACCCCTATTCCTGGGACGGTTTCGTGCTGACTGTGCGTTTGTCTTTACACCCTCTAGAAGGTCTGTCCACCAGCCATCTCCTGCTCCTGTACCCCATGCCTTCTGCAGCTGCAGGGCTTTCCTGGAGGACTTTCCAGGAGAGGGATCAGGAGACTGAAGGGTTTAACTAGTGCTGCTGAGGACTACAATCTGTCTTGATTCTTCCAAGAATTTACCTCTCTTCAACGGCAATGAAAATTACTAATGATTTCCCAAGAGATTTGCTTTGTTTTGTATATTGTATTTTCCAGCATTAGAATTAGAATCATGGCTATTAGCCATGAAATGGTTTAGTACTGAATATCACCTGTGTTAGATTTAAGCATTTGCCTCTTGAGAGACATGAGCATTTGGAGGTATGCATTCCATGCAAGGGTGGGAAGGGTGGGACACAGGTGCTGCTTGTGGTTGGTAATAGTGTCTGCGGTCAGGTCTGGTGGCTGAGTGGCTGGAGATTTAGGGTATTCTGATTCTGGAGTGTCCACTGCCCACCTTCTAATTGAATGTCCAACATTTTACTTTCCACAGTCACTTTCCTTTCTTTATTTTCACTTAACACAAAAAGCATAATAATAAAGGAAAGATGTGTTTTAATTCCACAATCATTTTTAGAGTCTAAAATAAAAATAGTAATGTTTTGGTAAAGTTGAACAAGAAATGCTACCAAATTAGGAAATTAGTGTTTATTTACCAAGCAAAATTTCTGAACATAGTGCTATGTATACAAGTTACATAATTTTCTAATTGGGATCCATAATGCATCTTGTAAGTTTTATTTTTTAGAATTAATTTATTTGTAATTTTAACCAGTGTATACCTTATATTCTTTTCTGTAATATGACTTATAGACTTTTTAACCATAGATGTTCTAGGCAAAATATTAACAGCTTGATGAATAGTCACATACTAAATCAGAATACTCTGTTCCCTTCCCAGTATTCTGGAGCAATCTCTCCCCAGCCCTCTTCCAGCTGTTGGATTCTTTACACACTCCTGGGCTGCCCTGTGGGACATGCTGTTCCCCTTCTCTACAGGCTCATGAAGGGTGAATTTAGGTGTTAAGAAGTTAATATCGGAGGTTTGCATGTGAAACTTTCCTAAACGGCACTGCCAAAACTTTGGAATTGTCACTGGAAGCTGTCCAGACTTCCTAGGTAGTCTGAGTTCAAATTGCCAATAGTCCCCATGGTGCCAAATTTTGGGATAGTTGTATAGTCTTTTTGAAAGGAGGCTGGGCACGACTGACTATGTGCTTACAAGTCCCAGCAAGATGCCAAGCCCAGATCCTCATAATGCACTACTCTGCTGCTGCACCACTGGCAATGTGCACTCTTGAAATAGGGTAGGGATAGGGTAGGGAGGGGTCCAGGGGAAATTGTTTTCAGTTGACTGTATTTGTAGTTGTTTAATAATAGGAATAAACAATACTTATATAGGAAGTTCCAAAACTAGATCCCAAGACCTGCATTTTTTTTATGTGACCAACTTGCCTGAACCAATTAACTGAGTCTTTGTCCTAATACATGTCTATGCATATGAACCCATTATTAGAAGCCAGTGGCTACATTCTCTTTCTTGCTGTAGATGGAAGGTATTGGCCTTTTGAATCTTGTATATGTCAAGAGTATTACACAGTGATTGTTCTAGTAGAGGAGCATATACAAGCTGTATTATTTAAAACACGCTTTATTCCATGCAAGTGTAATGATTTTGATATTTTGCTCAAATGATAAACAGGATTGCATGGTAGTGATGGCGTCATCATTTCAATCCTATCTGAAGTGATTCTAGGAACAGGTTGCACTACTGGACTGGATCACTAGGATATTTGGAAATGCATGAACAATTTACAAAGGGAATGATAACTTCTTCCTTTCCTAGGCATACCTTTCTTTTCATGATTTTTTTTCTCCTTAAATTGTTGACAGATTTAGCTCTCTTGAAACTATGTCAATAGGAGATTTACATTCAAAAAAGGGCAACATTTCATTGTACATTTGAATGTATAAGAATATATAATTTATATAAAATTTATTTTTCAATAATTTCAGATTTTTTTTTCCTTTTGACTTATCTTTAGACTGATCTTCCATAATAGTCTGCCCCAAACTGCCTCAGCATATCACACCAGCATTTCTAATCCAGTTCTGGAAAAATGACAGAGCGGATAGTATGCTGGGGCTTGTTTAACTGCATCTAAATAAACCATTATTCAGACTTTTGAGCTCGTCACCTGTGCACTCTAGTAGAATCCTTGTTCCCTAAGGTGTGTTTCCTAGAACACAAGTTCCTAAGATCCTCTTTCCAAAAAAAGGTTTCAGGTTCAGAGACTTTTGGAAACATACTCTAAGAAAGCATATATAATAGCATTGAAATCTCTGTTCAAATATCCTTCAGAGGAGAGGAAAACACTGTTAACTCCATGTTTTTCAGATTAATTTGACCACAGAAATTTTTGAGTAGCACCTAGTAACATTCCTGGGAATATCTGTTTCTACTTAAGGTACTTTGGAAACTTCTGCTATATTGAAATAGTTTTGTTTTCTTGTCCACTATGACTCTTGGTAGTAGCAGCACAGTTTGCAACTTAAAAGCACTAGTCATTTCACTGAAGCAGCTGACTTGTAATAAAAGCAGTGGTAAGAAAATAGAACTTAACATGGCCACCATGGCCTCACATTGACAGGAGAGGTCCAACAATTGTACTTGAAACTAAATATTGTCTCCCTCCATTCATATGAGTAAGAAGTACTTTGCCATAGACAGGCAATTCTCACATTCATTGCAAAGATTTTAGTTTCTTTTTAGGATTCTTTTTTTTTTTTTTTTTTCTCCTTTGGTTGGCTCAGGCTGCCTTAAGGGCAGGTCTGGTGCGGCATGTGGTGCTGGGGATCCAACCGCGGTCCCCTGAGCCTGACTGAGTTTGCCCAAGTAGGCGCTTTAGACAACTGAACTAACCTGCAAGCCCACTGTTTCTTTTTAAATTCTATCTTTGCTTCCCAGAGTCTATCAAAATATTTTGTTTCATCACTATGTGATCCTAAAAAATAGAAGAAATCATAAAACAGCAAAGATGCACATTTAGTTTTCAATCACTTTTGAAATTTTAACTAGATTCTTTTATCTGTTGTATAATAATAGAAATGTAAACTGTTAACACGTATTTATTTTTTCCTCTGTTCTCTCCATATTCAGTGAAGTAGTTTTAAATCAACTAGAGTTCCCACGTCCTAAAATTCCAGTCCAGTGTCATCCTGCCTTTCACATTTTGTGTATGTACTTAAGTTTGGTAAGTTATTGCTTGCCTGAAATGCAAGGCCTGACTGTAATAGTTTCCTAACAGTCCCTGTCAGCCTGAGCAATTTGTTTGGAAAGCTGTAACGGATAACCCACAAATAACAGATGAAAATTTATGGTAGAATGATTTAGGGTGAAAACATTAAAGTTACATTCATATATTTAAGAATATGCCCACCTTCTGGACATTAACTAAAATACTAAAAAATAAAAATAAAAAAATCTCTTAGGCAAGGTGGCTGACTGCAAAGAGCAAGGGAAAGTTGGTACTGTGAGGTTTTCATTAGACATGTTTCTAAGTATGTCCTTAATATGTAAAATTTTTGCTGATTCTTAGTAATACTGCTTTGTCTAGTGTTTGTTCTTCTTACCACTGTTAAACTAGGGGTTAATTATAATCATTTTTATGTGTGTAGTAGTGACTACATCATCATATGTACAATCATTTTAATAAATCCAAGTTAAGTACTTTCAGGATAACATGTAGTAACTGTTCATTTTGACAAAGTGTCATAGGCATTTTCACCGTTTGAAACTGTATCAAAAAGGTGGCATGAGACAAAGAAATAGACTATACTTAGGGATATAGTTCCATTTATTCTGGAAGGTCTGTAATCTACATTATTTAACCACAGAATAAGTCCTTTCTGACATTTGCCAAATCCAAGTTACCTTTTAAAGCCTTGGAGGACCAGCATCCCCCACCTCTGGGCACAAGCAGACTACTCACAGGTTCTGGTGGCAGGTTGTGCTTGTGAGGGAAGTTGAGGGAAAAGAAAACCTATCTGGCTTACTGCTGACTATGCTAGAGAGCAACTGTGTCAACCGCGTACATTCTCTCATCATCTTCAATCATAAGATAGTTCATAAGTTAAATGTGACTATGCAAAAGCAAGGATAGAAGTCAAGGAATTGGGGGTACACATATAGGATAACTAGACATGAAAAATACATTATCAGAAATACAGATTACTAGACTTTTACCATGTATAGGGTGTATTTTGT